ATAATCAGCGTGCGCAATACAAGCATATGAAAGAGGTGTAACACAGGCTAAGAAACCTAATATAAGAAGAAGAAGAAGAAGAAGAAGAAGTTAAATTATGAATGTACACAATACCAGAGATAATATTCTATTTTTTAACTATTAAATATAACTATATAGTAAATATTTTTTCGAAAAACGTGAGGAATTTATGCAAGTCCAGTAATACCACAAAATTTTAAGTTTGTTCTTATAGTGCTTTGTACTGAAGTTGAAAGCATTGTTATGAATGTACATTGAAATTACGTATAATAATAATTTATGCAATATTAACTTAAACAATTAGCTTAAATGTATTATCTGTTTTAGTAATTTTATGTTAAAATACATAGTCAAATATTATAATATTATTTTTTTAATTAAAAAATATAAGAAACAAAATAGTTAAAAAACCAAAACAAAAAAAAAGTTACAATTCAATAATTAATTTAATAATGAATAAGTTGGCTTAAAGATATACTATAAGGACAGTTGTTCTAGTATACGTTTGAAAATCTTTTTTTCTTTCAAAGCATTCTGCTTATTTATACAATATTTTACAATATTGTATAATATAATTTAGATTTCGATATCACACATAAGAATTTCAATCTAATAATAGAATTCATAAATAGAAATCAATCTAAAACATTCCTACATGTTTATATGTAGAAGCATAAGACAGCGATATATTATAATTGGTATGATAAGAATCATACGATTTAGATCGCAATCTTTTAAAAATGTTTTACCGTTAATAACTTATTTATCAACGATCTGTATATTCTATATTTTATGTAAATGTCAGGTATACTTAAATATGTTTTCAATCCCCAGATAATCAATTGCATTTCACACATATTATCTGCTATTATACCATTGCCGGAAATAAATTCACAATATCTTATCCAAGATATAAGCCAGACATGAGTGAAATTAATTGACACTAATTGAACAGAGAGATAATAACATCAGCGATGTTGGATCTTGAATTTTCTAAATTTTTATTCCTTGTATATTAAATTTCTAAATATCGTCGTTGAAGAATAATTTTTCGAATGATGACGTTTATAAATGGTCAATCGATTTGAAAATGAAAAATATCATTCATTCTACTTCCTTAATTTTAGTCTTTATAGACTATCTATTTTCAATATTAATTATTCTAAGGTACTCAAATAGTGAGATGTAGCATTATAAGTTACGTCATAAATTTGAAGATTATGAAAGCAATAAGCAATAACGTATCAAAAAGACTGATGCGGTGAAAAAGGTTTGAAATCTTACAATCTCTTGCAGCAAACTGTTCAAACGCTTGGGTAGTTTTGTCGCGAAAGCCATAGTAGATCCGGTATCGAAAGAGAAAGGATTGATTCAGGATGCGTTGTGAAGATGGAGAGGTGCAAAGGTCCTAGTACAAAGTAAGGACGACAAAGAAATTGCATTGCCAAGTTAAATCTCGGTCGTCGATATACCGACGTAATCAGTTTTCAATTGGTACGATTGATTCTTTCCTTTCTATGTCGTTGATGTCTTGATCCCGGATAACTACGTTCATTTTTCCAAAGTACACACGTATATACGTGTATCTTTACGATAAGAAATATAAATGCAGTATAAATTAACACAAAAAGCGTTGTAAACCTTTACTTTTTAAAATATAAAACAAACATTTGAAACAAATTAATTTGATTGTAAAAATTAATTTTTACAATAAAAAAAATAAATTATATATAAATTGTACACATCCCGATCTAAAATTAAATTTTATTTATGTAGAGAAACTGATTGTTTTATCTATATTTCTTTTCATTACATGTTTAATTATGTTTTTTTTTATATGGCTAAATTCACGATATCGTTAATTGTTAAACATTTTCAAGATCATTGAAATCAATGAATTAAGTTTTTTGTACTTTGTAAAAAATATCATGCAAACTCACCGTGATGTCTTCGAACCTTCGTAACCCTTTAAAGAACGATGTTCTTCTAAATAGCTGAAAAGATTCTTCAATTCGGAAAGCTGTTCGTTCCGCTCTATCATCGATTCTTTCAGAACCTAAAATACATACAATATATTTATGAAAACAAAGTTACTAAATAATAAATACAATGCTCATTAATTTCTAGATAAATATAAACATTTATTTAAATTATATTTTCTCGTATTTTTCTGTATTTATTTATACGATGCGTTTTTATGGAAAATATTCCACATTCCAATAAATGATAGATGATACAGTTTAAATTAATGTCAGTGTTTCTTGCGCTAAAAAAATTAAAAATATTACTAATAATTTGTCCGATGTTTAATATACATTTTATAATATATTAAAATATATATTCAAAAAAATAATGTTATATATCAACAGCATTACTTTAATTGAAAATAATTTTGATAATTTAATAACATTATATTCATAAAATTCTCTTGTTTTAATAAAATTTTATTTGTCTCATTAATATTGCTGTTAAATCAACGAGATTAGTTTCAATTAAAATAATACTGTTGCTACGACGTCTTTTTTTTTTTAACGTATATGATCTTAGACGTACATAATAATTTTTATAGAAATTACTACAAAAATTTTATTATTACTAAAGAAATAGTAAAAAGATGTAAACGGTATATTGCGCGCAACTGATTACAGTTTAGAAAATATTCAAATAATTGTTATTTCTCTGTATTCGGGACTGGCTACGAAATGAAAGAATTGACAAAAAAAGACACCGTGCAATTTCGCTTTTAGAAAGAGAATTGCATTGTTCAACCTTAATCGCGCTAATCTTTGTCCTCCGCTACAGGAAAATTAAAAGAAAAAAATAGAGAAAGAAGGAGCGAGAGATGAAACGAGGAGGGTCGACGGAGAAGAAAAAAAAATTGGGACCACCGCTCCTTCTCGAAAATAAAATCGGTTTTCCGATAACTGGTTATTTGCTCGCACAAGTGGCTCGCTGACTGGGCGAGCACGTCGGAAGCGGTTTTCGCGTGTAATATTATCGAGTTATCGGTAGAGAGGATAGGAGAGCATTGATCGCGCCGAGGATAGAGGCTGGGGGAAATGGACGAACGCGAAGAAAGAGACCGAAAGAGAGATGCCCGAGTGGGTTGGTGGAAAGTGTAGCACGAGGAGAGAGATGCTGGGAGACGAGCGTGCATTGCACGAGGACAATATATCCGCGTGATTACAATATGTCGGGGCTCGAGAGCCCCAATATCAACGTGAAGTCGACTCAGCCAATGCTGATAATCCCTATTGTTGATGCCTCCACTCGACTACCTCTCTCGCAAATGGATACATCTTGTTTCAAAATTTCGAATGGTGCGACGCGACGTGGCGAATACATTGACGGAGGATGTGTTTGCATCGTGAAAAATTCCTTCTAGAATATCTCTGCGATTTCGGGGAAACCGAAACATTACGCAAATTTGACGAGAGATTTCTCAATTTTCTCGGATATCAAAAGAGGAATGTAAAAGAATTATAATGAGAGAATCTATCCGTTCCGTTTTCCACGTGGGAGATTTTATAAGGTTTCCATGAATGAAATTTTCACTGGGATACTTGAGCTTTAATAAGAAAAATCCGTTTTATTATACATTTGTAATTATAAAAAATGCAAAAGCTTGAATTATTTCATTAGAAGATAAAATAATCACATTGCCTCTCTATAAATCGTATGTTTTATAGAAAATTTCAGTTTTTCTGTGTATTAAACAGGATTTTTTCTGTCAGACCTATCGTTTTGTTTCCCAGTACGTACATTTACTGATTAATCATCGTTGGTTTTAGCTTCGAGATAAAGTGAAAATTACATGTATTGCTCGTTCAGTCGTCCATTATGGACCGGCAATTTCTGCGTTCGTACGTGCGCCGGGATCGCGTTAAAAGAGAGGTCGGAATGGCGGATATGTGGACGGCGAAAGAAACGAAACCTGTCCTCGTCGTTTGTGTTCGGCGTCAGCAGGCTGGGCCGCCTTTCACACATCCCACACGAAAGACGACGATGACGACGGCGGCGGCGACGAAGCTCGGTCTCTTTCAAAACAATTACGCATTCTTCTACACCCGTTCTCCCACGTCACCTACCTCCTATCGTCTCAATATTGCCCCATAGTGAGTTTTGTCTACGACCACTTTCTGTCAGTAAAGAACGGCGAATTACTTGGGGAATTAACATAAAGAAAGTGTCGCCATAAGAATGTTCCTATTTATCGCGGGCTGATTTATCGCTCTCGATTTGACCGATTACCATATTTGTAAGACTCATTGGGAGTATCGGCATGAGAATTTCTGTACAAGGGAACCATTCGTTTACTTCGGTCATTACGTCATTTATAATGAGTAAAATTTTTTGTAAACATTGTTTATCTGCTACAAACAATGATACAACTTAAAATAGAAAATTTTCAAGAAAACAAGTGTTTCATTCAACAATTTTTCAATATTTGTAACTACATATGATTACATATGTTACTACATATAATTATAATTATATATGTTATATATTATACTATTATAATGTCAGTAATAATAATTATTGCGTAGTTCTATCAACAAATATATATGGCTGGCAGCTGAAAAAATTGTAATTATAGTTATTATTACTATAAAAATGGTTATCCCAAAAAAGACTAAAAATTATAAGCAATTTCAATCATTTTTATGATAATAATAACTATAATTATAATCATTTTCGATTGCCAACTATGTATATATTTGTTGATAGATGCAATTTTGATTCAACCTAATTATTGAGAAATAAAAATATGTTCTTTTAATTTCAAACATTTTTTTCCCTTTATATTTTCACTTTTTTGTAAACAACCAAAAAAATGATCATTTTTAAGTTATATCGCTGTTACAACAAATGAGCAATATATTATTGCTATTGTAATTTAGATACATTAGGTCACTAATTGTTAATATTAATTATATTCTCTTATGATTTCAGACACTAAAGAGAACTTCATCCATTGCATCTTCATCAACGAATTGTAAGTCTCAATGCATGTATGTACTTACAGAGTTGCGATTAATTAGATAATATTATAAATCTGTAATATCTATGTATGCGTAATAATAAGACTGAGTATTCTTCCGTCCATGTAACATGGCGTTACAATCTTATAAAAAGATTCGAGTAATTGCTAATATTGAGTAAACTAGTAAATCTATGAAATGTTAATATTTCCAAGTAGGTGCGATGTTTTTGTAAGAAAATTATTTCAATCGAAAAACAAAGTTCCTAGGCTAGCGGAAGACTGAAGGCAAGTGGCTTATGCCATCAAGATTGTTTTCTGTCATGACTTTCCCTTGCGCCATTCTCCTACCAATGCTGTCATATACCCCATTCACCTAGAAGCAGCCATCGCGATTTACGATCCCTCCACTCTCATCTTCGTGCACAGAAAAGCGCACGACAGGTTTCCCATCTCGGGCCTCTATGGAAAATATTCCACATTCCGATAAAAGTGATGGACGATGTAGTTCAAATACCTCTTTTCTTGCACTAGAAAAATTAAAAAGGCTTTGACATAATTTGTAACATATTTGATATGAGGCAGACAATAAGAAATGACTTAAGGGACTGAATATAGTATATAAATAATAACAGAGCAATATACGTATACATAATTAACGATAATAATAATTTCAAAAGATATTCACCGAGCAAGTTTTATTTAAAAGATTGTTTAAAGGACTTTTTAAAAGATTA